GCAACTTCTTTAGCAGTGCTATTCTCAGTGCTTCCACCACTTTGACTCTTTTCTTCTCGCCTCAGATTTTCCCTTTGTCTTTTGCTAAGATTCTCAATTCTCGCTTCTAATTTTTCATCCTCATCTAAATCATGGCCATCATTTGGTAAATCTGACCCATTTCTCACCTTTTTACCAGGGTTCTCAGGTTCAGCCCTCCTCAGCGGTCACTCCGTCCCGTAATCGATACGGGAGAGCCTGTCATCCCGGCCGTTCCTCATCTCGCTCATCTCGTTTCTCATTTTCTTGATGCTGTCTAGTATCCAGCTACTAGTGTTGGTCTGAATATTCAAAACCTTCACGAGTATGCTGGTCACAGCATCAAGTTTCGAGCACACCGATTCAAGCCTGCCTTCCACTGGAATTTCAGTTCTTGGTTTGTTCGCGTGGTATTTCATTGGATTGGTCGGGTGGTTTTGAAACGTGGACCTTATTTTAACTTTAGGTTCCACGTACTCGATTTTTGTAATTTGAGATTTACTTTTACCTGCTTTGAGAGCCTCAATTACTGCCGCTTGTCCCGCACCTTGTTCGGCCGACGCACCTTCACTTTCCTCAGCCTCCTCGCCGCTCTCACCGTCCTCCCCGTTCTTACCGTCGCTCCCCTCACCTTTGCTCATCTCACTCACCTCGGCAGTAATTGGTGGTTGCTCCTCCTAAATTCTGGGCATGATGGGAGTCTTACTGGCGAGGAGCTTCTGCTCATGCCACTCCACCAGTAGTCTCCACTGGTTCTCTGTCATTATGCTTTTGGGTGTTGTAATAAATAGAATCTATGAATATTAGTATTATCATTTGTATATTATACCCTTTCACCGACCAACCGAACACAAGTATAGTCAGCTTCAGGACAGTCAGACACAGACGAGATATGAGCACAATATCACCTCTATGCCCGAAAGAGCTAATCAATTTCCACGTACTGAACACAAGCACGCTTCCACTGATCACCCCTTTGGAGCAACCAAACTTCAGATTTTATTCTGAATTTTTAACTAGTATTTTTGTGTAATTTGATCATTTTCAGTGCTTAGTTAATTTGTGATTATATTTGCTAGCTAATATCCTCACAAGCACTTCGATCGCATGCATTTTTCATCGTAACTCTCATTTTTAATTCATCTCAACTCACCAAACGTATAACACTCAATTGTGTCTGTTCGTATCAACACGGTCTCCTCTACTAACTCGAGGACGACGTCCTCTCCTTTATGGGGTTCATCAAATCCAAAGAGGAACGTTAATTGCCTCCACAGCTCCCACAAGTCGTCACCTATGGTAATTTATTTACTAATTTGCTGATTTGGGCTTGTTTTTATTTTTGTGCACTCTCGCCTTATTTGTATTTCGCACCAATTTCAAATTTGAATTTAGTTTCGCCGCCGACCGCAGTTGCGATGCGCGCGCGCTGGCGGAGAGCTGCGTGACCCCTTCTCTTTTTTACATCTCGTGATCTCATCATTCGCTCGAGCTTTGCGTGTGCTGCTTAACTACAGCCACTACTGGTCACTATCCCCACCAATGCTGCGCACGCACCCACCACGTTAACCGACTCTCTATACTATTCGCGTCCCTCACCAATTCTCCATACTTGGACGCTTCTCTCACCGATTCTCTACTTATTGGACGCGTCCCTCACCATGTTACAACTCTCCCAACTCATCCCTCAACATATATTATTCCCACCTATTTCAATCTATTCTTATTTTCATTTTTTTGGGATTTTTAATTCCCTAATCAAATATTTTATTTTTCTCCCGGACTTTAGTTTGATGGTTTGGCCAACGTTTGTTGTCCACCATCTTGTCTCCCAGCGTCCACGTTGTTCCCGCCAATCTCCCCGGAATGACGCAACCCCTGTTCGTTGTCTGGAAGACGCTTACCACCGGTATAGCACATTCAACCGTACTTACGCCTCTCTCCTTCTGGCTTTTCCATCTTTCCAGCCTTCCCTCGCCTTCCCTCGCCACCTCAGACCACCAGACACTTGGCACTATGTTCCTGAGGGTTTGTCCTTATTTTTCTTTCTCACTTGAGTTTTTATTTGCGCTAGGGAGAGTGCTCTGGGCCCATAACCTGTTAGATGGCGGGTGTGGATACAATAAATGGTACACGGGTTTTATTATTAGAACACTGGTTTATTGGCTGCAGCACGTCTCGCAGTAGAATGAACTCTCACATTTGGGGCGCGTTTCGCAATCGACGTAGTAGCAGTAGCAGTACTGCAACCCTATCTAATTTTGCTTTACTGCAGCTACGGTAGGTGATTCCGAAACGCACCCATGTTACAACCTGATGGAGAGGAGATCCGCGCATGCGCAAGACCTAGTCTCTCCATAACGAATATATATGTCATACGCAAGGGCCTAAGCCCAGTGGGACCGGGACCTGCCGCCACCTTTCCAACATTTACCGTTGATTTCTAAAATTTGCAATGGAATTAACAAAAATTGGAACGGGGTGAAATGAAACGGTTGAAATTGGCTCTGGAAAGTTTTTGTTAATGCCTAATTTAAACCAAAAAATATATATTTTTTTGAAAAAAACCGCCAAGTCGTTTGATTGTAGATTTCGAACCGGGGATTCTACTTTTTTGAAAATAAAATGAAATGAGCCAAGTGAGAAAAAATCAGTAGAAGCAAAATAAAGTACTTGGCGCGGGGCAGGAGATTGAAATTAGATTGATAAGGGACAGGCTACTTGATGGAAAACTCCGCGCCAAGTACTTTATTTTGCTTCTACTGATTTTTTCTCACTTGGCTCATTTCATTTTATTTTCAAAAAAGTAGAATCCCCGGTTCGAAATCTACAATCAAACGACTTGGCGGTTTTTTTCAAAAAAATAT